TATTATTCATTTAAAAGGTAATACACATGTAATTAAAAACATCATTTAAGTGATATTCAAATAGAAAAATAAGGTAGACAGTGCAAAGTATGTTTTTCTCCTACTTGTGATTTCTCATATTCCTTGTAAATTACAACCAGTGATACCCATTCCTTCCAGAGTATTCTCTGCATTTACATGTGCAGAATTTACATGTATTTTTGTATCTTGGAACTCATATCGTACCTATAAATAGAGATCTGCATCATTCTTTTTAACTAAACATTCATTATATACATAGGTTAGACTTCAAATGACCTTCGGACAACAGGATATTGCACACTCTACTGTTGGCCTAAGGGACATCCTATTACCTCTCCCTTCACGTAGTTCTAGGTGGATTCTCTCCCTTACCCCATCCCCATCACACGTATTCTCAGAGGTCAACCTCAAAAAGTGGCAAGATCTTTGCTAACCCTGTGTCATTTTTCTGGTTTCTTTAGAAAGAAGTATTATCTTCTCTGGTGAAGTTACCAGTATATTCTCAAGGGGGCCCAAGGGACAGTGGGATACAGAGAGGAAGTCAGACTCCAGACCTGCACCACCCAATGGCAATACAATGTGGTCCAGAAGTGTGATTTTTTTTAACCGTACAGTAGTCACTTTTAAAAAGAGTTTAAAACGCCACAGGTGACATTAATTTTCATAATAATTTTATTTAACCCAGTAGATCCCAAACATTACCAGTTCAACATGTAACCGATATTGAAAAATTATTGAGCTATTCTATGTTCTTTTTTTCAAACTAGACTTTGAAACCCAATGTGTGTTTGCTCTAACAGCAGATCTTAATGGAACCAGACACAGTTAAGGAGTTCAGTGCCCACATGTAGCCACATGTAGCTAGTGGCTGCCCTACTAGAGAGCATAGCCCTAGATTCCCCCCCCCCCCCACCTATCGCTGATCATGTTGAATGAACCCCTTGGCTCTCCAGGCCTCTGCTTCCTCATTTTTTAAAAATATTTTTTGTTTATTCCTTTAAGAAAGAGAGAGCACAAGCCATGGGAGAGGCAGAGGGAGAGGGAGAAGCAGACTCTCCGCTGAGCAGGGAACCTGACGTGTTCGAACCCAGGACCTGGAGATCATGACATGAGCCAAAGGGCAGACACCCAACCATCTGAGCCACCCAGGCACCCCTGTTTCCTCATTTTTGAATGGAAGTTGAGTTGGGTGATCTCAGCACCTCCCCTCCCCTAATGTCCTCTGACTTTCAGTACTAAAAATGGACAGTCATGGACAAAAAAGTAGCTTAATCTCACCATCTATACAATGGGGACCATCAAATGTGACCCTAATCAAAGTGAGGATGAAAAATATGGAGCCAATGAGGATGTGCTTTGGGGAGGAAAAGAAATGAGGCAGTTTGTGGGTATTAGGATTGGAATCGACCCCGTTATGAGGACTCAGAAGCCACTTGATAGACCCACCGGGTTCACTTATCTGAACCCCACTCACCTCGCCCATGGGTAAGGTGGGGCTAGGAGTTTCTCCATACAGTCTCTGCCACAATCAAATAAGACAGCCATGCAGAGGGCTCGGCGCCATGCTCGGCACACTGGAAACTCTCCATTACCAGAAACTGCTGCCATCCCCACCGCTCTGGTTGCACAAAGGCGGCCCAGAATAGGAAGTGGCTTGCCCAAGGTCGCACGGTGAGATGGTGGTAGCAGACGCTGGCCTATTTTGGCTCCCTCCTTGTCTCTGGCAATTGTTCCAAAAGTCAGCCACTAATTTCCTCGCAGCAAGGTAAATGAAATAAATACACCCAAAACCACTGAACTACTCGCATGAGGCCCAGGTCCAAGTATTGTTTCCATGGTATGTACGCTGGAGTGCATGCATGTGATTTGTTTAAAATCACAGCTCCACAGGGCGGGGGCTGGCTTGGCAGGACGCACTGCCCTGCACCCAGCTCCCTGTGCTCAGAGCCCCATTCCACGACCCGTGCCAGACTCCACCAGATTTCCAGCAAAGGGCCCCCTCTAGATGGCACATGAACTACCTTTTGGTGAAACTGTGATGGTGTAGAAAATTAAAATTAAAAGCCAGGAAGCCTGAATTGTTATATATTATATAACAATAACAGGAAGCCATTTCTTCTGGGCATTTGCTGTGTGACATTGCTGGGTACCCTGCATTCACCATTGTAATTAATCCTTTTGGTTACCCAGGGTAGAGGTAACCACTTAACAACTCCATTTTACAGCTGAGGAGATAGAAATTCCAAGAAAATAAGGAACTCACCCAGAAATACACAGACAGAGCCAGAAGGGGCCTTAAAAATCTTCCCTGGGGCAGAGGCATTGCCAGCCACCCCACTGACCCAGGAGCCTACTGGACACTAGACATTCACCAGCTAGGACAAGTGGGTCTTCCTAGAGCACCTTAATTTATTTATCTGTAAAATGGGGATATTTGAACTTGACTTTGGTGAGAGTGAGGATAAAAACATGGCAGCAGATGAGGATGTGCTCTGGGAAGGAAAAGGAGGGAGATAAGGTGTTGTGGAATGGTTATTAAGATTAAGGTAGAGCCTGGCAAGTGCTCAGAATCTGCTGGCTGAGACACAGGGCTTGTTGCACTCTTGCGCTCGCTCTCTCTCTCTCTCTCTCTCTCTCTCTTTGCTGGCAGACACTGAATATCCCTGTTTCCCCCAAGCCTAGTCTCTTTCCAGTTCCTTCCAAAGATCAAGTTTCCTTTCTAAGGCCAAAGTCTAAGAAACATCACCCCAATCTCCCAAGCACCAGCCAACAGCCCTCCTTGATTTGGAAACCAACTGAGAAAGAGAAAAAGCTGAGCAAGGCTGGGAAGGTTTATGGATCACTTCATTCTTTTTCTTTTTCCTTAAGCCAAGCCCAGGCTCTGTCCTCTTTAGGGTTTGGCCCAAGCCAGAAGTGTAAGAAAAGCACTTGGAAGCTTTGCCTTCCCAGAAGCTCACCTACAAGTCCCTTCCTTAATTAAAAAACAGAGTCCACTGCCAAACTTGGACACCTAAGAGCTCTGGAGGTCCCAGCTATCTCTGCCTCCAGCTCAACAATGAACATCGTGGATTCAGTACCCAGAAGAAATGAGGCTTGGGGAGAGTTAAGGAAGTAAGGAAGTGAGGGGAGGACCGATCTTGCCCCGTGAGGAAAGACACAGAGATTCTGGATGGTTTTCTCTGCAAATCAGAACCCCAGCAGCAAGATGCTGAAAGACATTCAGCCGGTCGACACTCGAGAAACACACGCTCACACACACAGCAGAGAAATGACACAGCATGAGGGCAATGCATGAATACACAGAGAGAAACACACACATACAGCGACGCCAGATGGAGAACGCAGCCTGGGCTGGGCCTGGGTATTCATTATTCCCTCACCCACACAGGGGCTGGCAGAGTTACATAATACAAGCTGCAAAAGGGGAGGCTGACTTACTAACCGACCCGCCTTGAGGGGATCCAGGAAGTGGCACCTCCTTCTTGGGGGGAGGGGATGTCTGTACCCATCTCCTGCTCACAGAGGCAGTGGGAGCTTGTCAGCTGCCTCAGCCCCTGGATGACCCCGAGAATTCACTAAAAGGGAAATGAGGGAGTGAGTGTCACTTTGTTAGTAGTGGCAGATGGGGGCTCCCTCCTTTCGCTAAGCATGGTGAGGATGCCAGCAGGGAAGGGAAGGGGTAGAGCTGGAACCAGGACTTGAACTGGGGGACAGAGAAAGATGGAGGGGTTCTTTGCTGCTCCCACCTGCCCCTGACTCCACCCATAATCCACAGATCACCTGCTCCAACCCAGACCTGTAGGACACACTTACATAGCTGCCTGCCGTGTGCTTGCTACAGATGCATGCACCTCCCCTGGGCTGCAGCATGCCCAGCGGGGCCTCCCTGTTGCCCTTTGGTACCCCAAGCATTCCCCGAGCCTGGGGAAGCTGGTGGAAGTTGAGAAAATAACCAGAATATGAAGTTTCTTCAATTAGACTGTAAGTTTAAAAGCTCGGCTCAGGAGTGGGGCAGACCTGAGTTCAAAGCCTCTCTTTACCATCATTTCTGTGTGATTTTGGACAACTAACTAAGCCCCTTCCCAGGCTTCTCATCTATTGAAGGGTAACCATGAGGATCAAAGGAGGAAGAAAGATATATATGTTAGGAGCCTACATGTTCAATAAGTGTCGGCTGTGTTTAATCATTTGCGATTTTTCTTCATTCAACAAATACTCATTGAGCACCTGCTGTACACTTGTGCTAATCCTAGGGGTACACAGCCTGCTCTCCTTAGTATTTCCCCGTTAGGGTTTCAGGTTGTAGAGTACAGATGTTCTCTAAAGTTTTGTGTGGAATCCATGTCTTTGGTGTTTATTACATCAGATTGGCTTTATGATGGTTTGTAATGTGGCCACATCTGTTCTCTTGAGCCTAGAACAGGTCGATATTTACAAAAATGGTCAGAAAGGCCAGTTGACCCCTTGTCAGGATTCCCCTTCCAGTGGGTTTGTTGTGAGGACTTTGGGAGTGGCCAGGACAGAGAGTTCAAAGATCTGTGCTGGCTGAGCTCCTAACCTGTTAGTGGAAAATGTACGTAAAATGCTGAGAGCCAAAGGCCACATGACAAGCTGGAATGGTGGCCTCTCAGGACGGGAAAGAGATGAGATGAGATTGTGATTCTTGCCTTTTGATTTCTAGGCTGTCAGTGGTTCCCTTGGTTTCAGAGGCCTTTGATCATGGGAGGTGAAACCAGGCAATTTGCAGCTAACAGGGAAGGTACCCCCTCCCCTCGAGGAGGAAGGATTTCATTTCGAGGTTGGCTTCCAAACTCCAGGGTCTCATGGCTAGACTTCTCAGTTGGCTGCATTTCCCATCTCGGTTTTGACGGTGGCGTTGGGCATCCACATCAATCTCTCTTTTTGTAACTTCACCCCCTCCCTTTTCCTTCTCTCCAGCACAGGTCTGACGAGCTGGTGATGCCCAGAGAATAGTGCATGGTAGCTTGCGTCACCTCGAGACACATCTAGACGCAGCCACCAGACGCTTCTCCTCCCCAGTCTGCCTGACCTGTTGCTTAGGGACACGTCCCACGGCTTCTCCTGACGCCTGCCTGATCGACCATCACTTCCTAGAGAACAAGGAGGAAGGCCAACACAGGAAATCATGCCACCGACGGCCGGACAGCAATGAGTGGGTGACGCCAAGTTGACGTCAAAGACAGAGAAGACAAAGCCCAAGAGCAGCTCAAAGTTGAGACTCCTTGCGGCACCAGCTCTTCCTCTCGGTGTGGCATTAAGCCTGGCTCCTCCTGGTGAAGTCATCTTGGCTTGATATAGTGTAAGTCTTCAGACCCTTGGACCGTAGACACCATGGAGAGTCAGGTGTTCAGTGTTCAGCAAATCCAACCCAACGTCATTTCTGTCCGCCTCTTCAAGCGCAAGGTTGGGGGTCTGGGCTTCCTGGTGAAGGAGCGAGTGAGCAAGCCGCCCGTGATCATCTCTGACCTGATTCGGGGGGGTGCTGCGGAGCAGAGCGGGCTCATCCAGGCCGGCGACATCATCCTCGCAGTCAACGGCCAGCCTTTGGTGGACCTGAACTATGACAGTGCCCTGGAGGTGCTCAGGGGCATTGCCTCTGAGACACATGTAGTCCTCATTCTGAGGGGCCCTGAAGGCTTCACCACTCACCTGGAGACCACTTTCACCGGGGATGGGACCCCCAAGACAATCCGGGTAACACGGCCCTTGGGTCCCCCCACCACAGCTGTGGATCTGTCTCACCAGTCATCTGCCAGCAAAGAGCACACACTGGACGGGGCCACAGGTCCTGGCAATGGGCCACAGCATATCCAAGACAGTGGCCAGCAAGCCAGCTCACTCTCGAATACCAACAGCCTGGCTCCCAGACCCCCGAGCCAGGACTCTACCAAGAAGAGTACCGGGGTTGCTCTCCAGGACAGCCAGAACAATGAATTGCTCAAAGAGATAGAGCCTGTGCTGAGTCTTCTTACCAGTGGAAACAAAGGGGTCAATGGAGTGGGACCTTCCAAAGCAGAGACAAAAGATGCAGAAGTCCAGGTGGACAGGTAAGCTCTACAGGTGTGTGCGTGCATGTGTGCGGTTATGTGGTGTATGCAAGCATGTACTGCAACTCAGATCAGAGCCCAGAAGCCAATCCGAGCTGTTCCAGACACCTGCACAGACATATCCACTCGGCCACTCTTGCCTCTTTCCCTTAAAACTGTAGTTTTAAGATTGGAATGGGCATGACTTCTAGCCTGTATCTTTTGCCGTGAGACCCAGTGCTGAGAGTCGTGGTAGCTGATGTCATGTCTTCCAGCAACCCCTCAAGGTGGTTATTTTTGCAGTCTATAATTCATGGGGCAGAAGATTGAGACTTAGAGGGAAGGGACTCTCCTAAGTCACCTAGTGAGCGAGAGGCATGTCCATGGCAGCCTCAGCATAGAGTGAATGCCAGGGTCCTGGGAAGAGAGAGAGGATGAGCAGAAGCCTGGGTAACCCTCAGCCTAAACCAGCTCTTGCCTTGTGACAACCACTTGGGAGCAAGGGAGGTTCTAAAGGAACAGAATGGAATCAAAGTAGAGAAATGGCCCCAACTTCCCAAAACAGTGGTTGTGCTCATATTATGTAGGATCCAAGGCTAGAACATGAAGACCTGGGTCCCAGCCCCTCTGTATTTGCCAGATTGAAATTTTTTTTGCTTCTGGGGAGGAAGAAAACAGGTGACACAGTGAGTGATTCTAGCTCCTTCTTTGGAAGAAATTGGTAGCTAAGCCCGGGTGTCAGAGAATAGCGGGTCCAGAGACTTAAGAGAGACATTCCTTTCCACTCTCATCTTCGATTAGCACTAACCCTATAGCTGCTACTTCTTATCCATGCCCCACTACAGAGGAGGCACAGGTGTGGGGCCAGAAACCCAGGCCAAGATTTCCCAACCCCCTCCCCAAGGACCCCTGAGGGTCCAGAGAGCATGTAGAGGTGCCCAGGATGCCCCTCGGGAGCCTGGATTGAAGCAACCCTCCAGGCCCCTGCACTGATTCATTTAACAGATGTTCATTGGAGACCTCCCGTGGCCAGACACTGCTCTGGGCGCCAGGGATGAAGCAATGAATGGAACAGACAAACCCTCTGACCTTGTGAATGAATGATATAGACAAGTCCCTTGACCTTGGGGAGCCAATTACAGTGTAGTGGGGACAATGAAGAATAAATGAGACAAAGATGTTAAAATACACCAGCCATCAGTGATATGTGCTAACGAGAGAGATGTTACAGGGAAGGAGTCAGGAAGTATTGCAGAGGGTGAATTTTAGAGGGAGAGGCTGGGTAGGCCTCAAGGAAGGTGATGTTGGAAGACCCAGAGGAAAGGGAAGAAGGGCACCTTGAAGCTTAATAGAAGAGAGACATTCTGGACAAAGGGAAAGGCAGGTGCCAAGGTCTGGAGGTAGGAGTGAGCCTGAAGTGGTGGAGGAACCACATGGGATCCAGTCTTCCTTCCTAATAGGTCAGCCCCCATTTTGTGGGGTCTGTGGCATCCCGCCTCAGCCAAGTATTGCATCCCGAAGCTTTTCTAACTTCTCACACCTGGGCAAAAACCAAGCGAATTTCAGCAAGACCCCAAGAGAAAAGGTAGAGGCTCTGTCAGAAGCCCCCAAAGGGCCCCCCACTGCCCTTTTTTTAAAGATTTTATTTATTTATTCATGAAAGAGAGAGGCAGAGACATAGGCAGAGGGAGAAGCTGGCTTCATGCAGGGAGCCCAATGTGGGACTCGATCCCAGAACTCCGGGATCACACCCTGAGCCAAAGGCAGGTGCTCAACTGCTGAGCCACCCAGGCGCCCCCCCCACCCCACTGCCCTTTGAAGGTGGGAGCCCCTTTTGTCTTGACGTTCCTTTCCAGAGCTGGGGGCCTGGATCAGTCCTCGAGTCTGTCCCAGCTTGCAGAGATCCGGGGTCTGGTTAGCCCATGACTAGCATGGAGACCCCCCACAGGCTACAGCCCAGTCCTCAGGAGAGCTGCCACCTCCCGGGGGCCCCTACAGTGGCACACACATAGAGATGACATGGTCTTGACATAGCTTCCGGGAAGCCAGCAGCCCCCAAGTCCACTCAATGGACTTACATCCTAAAGCAGCTGTAAAATCCAGAATCAATCATTGGCCTGGTTTTCTGGGAGGCACCAGAAGTGCCTCCTCCTCTCCAAGGCTCAAGAGCAGCAGGACCGTGAATAAGCGTGGCCTTCCCCCTTGGGGGCTATATTCCATACACTTGGTTCTGATTCTTGGCTGGGCACGGGACGGGCATGGAGTCATGAGCATCGGAATTCCCTGGGGCTATATTTCAGCCTGCCTCCCGGAGCCTGAATCTCCATGTGTGACATGGAGACATCCCCTGGAAGGTCCCCCCCCCCACTCTGAAAAGCCGGTATGACCCTCTTCCAGGACACGAAAGCCCGGTGCAGGACTCTAGGCTTGGGGGAGGTCATCAGATATGAAGGGCTTTAACAGGAGCCCTCTTACCAGCCAGCCCTGAGGGGCCTCTCCAAACACCAACACAGAAAAGCAGCCTTCATTTCCCCAAGGATGGGGGAAGGGCATACCTGTCTGGCACGGGGTTTCCTCCAGCAGATTTTTTTTCCCAAATTGGGAGGCTGCACCTGAGCTCTCAACCTGTCACCATCCATCACAGTCTTCCTTCTAGTGACCAAAAGGAGCAGAAAGCACTGCTTTGGAGAAGGTGCAATTTGGAAGACAGTGGCCCAGGGCAGGGACAGGCCTCCATGAACCCCATTAAGGTAAATGGTTCTATGGATGAGTATTAGCTAAATCTAGTGCATGTTCCCCTGATTCAGTGGTTTACACCTGTGCTGGACTCAGAAACCCACCCCTTCACCCCGCCACTTGAACACATATTTTTAAATGCCCCCTTTACTAACCAGGAGCTAGTTCATGTATCATATAACCTACTCACACTTTATACTTTTTTAATAAATATCATGCCCTAACTATAAAGTAAAGGAGACTATAAAAGTAATTCATAGTAGGGGCACCTGGGGAGCACAGTCGGTAGGGTGTCTGACTCTTGGTTTCAGCTCAGGGTCATGGGATCGAGCTCCACATCAAGCTCCATGGTCAGCAGAGAGTCTGCTTGAGTTTCTCTCTCCCTCTCCCTCTGCTGCAACCGCCTGTGCTCACTCTCTCTTTCTCTCTCAAATAAATAAATCTTTAAAAGAAAAAAGTAATTTATAGTAACAGGAGCTATAATTCAATATATCAGTGCTCAGATATTTGCCCCTAAACACAGAATTAGTCCGCACACGACAGTGTCAAATGCAGATTGACACAAGTGTGTTATTTTGGCAACTCAGATGTCACCAGTGGTGTTGCCTTAGTGATGGGATGGTGTGATTGTCCAAAATGGCGACAGATTCCCAATAAAATGATATCCTGTCTTTTTTTTGTTGTTTTTTTTTTTGATGTCCTGTCTTTAATTTATCCAGTGGCAGCGTGCACAGAAAACTCAACATATTTTTTTCTTTTTTTTTTCAACATATTTTAAAGTCATGTTTATGTGTAAGACCAATTGGGATCTTGGCCCAGGAATTTCAGCTTGCTTTTTTATCTGTGTGGATGTCCAAAAGTTTTGTGGCAGCCAGGACCCTTCTTCCTGGTGTTGCTTTGTCCCTTGCACTGCAGGATATCTACCCTCCCTGATGCCACCTCCTTCCCGCTGTGATGCCGGGGCCCTCACCATTGTTGGAACAACCAAAACTTTGGTTATTGCAAAAGTTCCCTCAGAAATTACCAAACTGCCTCCTAGGGGCTGAGATAAGTGTTGTGCTAAGTGTCAGCATCCCAAGACAGGAAATGGAAGCCCAGGAACAGAATGGCCTTCGTGGTCACTCTTGGGGCTGGCAGGTCAGGGAGCATTCAAGCTCCTTGGAGCATGTGGCTGCCTGGAATTACTCATTACTCATCCTTCCAGTGGCTTCCCCATCCAGGATGGGGATCGGAACTGGCAACCTGGATTCTCTATGGCCAGGTGACAGTGAGGCTGGCTGCCCACCAGCCCTGGAGCCCCACATCCCAGTCAGTTCAGCAGTCTGTGGCTTCTTGGGGCCAAGCATAGGCTGAGGCTATTCCTAGTTCTAGCAGTGCCCTTGACTCTCCTGCTGTCTCAGCCTCCTTTCCTTTCTTCCCTGTTTCTTCTTGGATACAGGCCTATTCTCCTGCTTCATCTAGTTCTTCTCCCTCACGGGGCATCCCTGGTCCTGTAATTTGGGGATGCTGGCCCTTTGTTGGCGGGGAGAAGTGATGCTTTCTTAGTCTAGACGCAGTGTCACCCTTGATCCCAGGGGGAAGGTGGGCCTGGCAGGTGGTAGCTGCGTGTAGGGAACGTAGGAAAGGGAAATCTGGGGGCTTCTGGGACCTTCTGCACTTGGGAGCTGTCACTTTAAAATGCTGCATATCGGAGGATATCCAGATTGTTCAGCTTGCTGCCCTGAAGGAGGGTTCTAAAGAGGCCAAGGTCCCTGGCCCAGCATCCATCTGGACCAGCCGGTCAGCCTCACCCTGCACTCTGATGACTTCCTCTCCACTTGCAGGGCAGCCGGTTACTGACGACAGAGTACCTTCCCAACAGCCATCTCTTCAGAGCTTCGGTGAATTCAGCTCCCTAAGTGGGTTGTGTGGTCTGGGCTCCCCATAGAGACCAGGAAACTGAAACTCCAAGAGGGGGAGCAGTTTGCCCAGGGTCACGTGGCACTGGCCACAGGGTGCTATCTTGGTTCTATCTAGAAATCTCACTATGGATGTCTACTGTTAAAGAGAAACTAGGCAAGACAATGTGGCTGGAGGCACAGAAGTCAATTTTGACCCCAGAGAATGAGCTTAATTAGGGAAAGGTGGTCTCCTGTAGCAAGCCTGTGTTTTGTGACCATTATGCAGGTCAACATATACTGAGCACTCCAGGTGGGCCTGACTCCAAGCTAAGGTCTTTACATCAGTTAATTCATTTGTTCCTCATAGCACCTCATTTTCCTAATAAGAAAACCAAGACTCAGAGA